GCTCTTCAGTAGAAGCTCCTAGAGAAAATGAGTGCACCCAGGATACTGTATCCTAACCTAATTTACTTACAAAGGACAAAATGTTACAACTTGTAGCTTACATTTAGGGATATAGAGTTTGGTGCAGGAGTCTGTCTACATGGCAAGCCATCACCAGCAAACCAAACCCATTGCAGTGAGCCACAGAGCTGGCACTAATCATAGCAGTGAAGTGATTTTCACTTGGGCTGGGGCTTGGGCTTTTAACCTGGTGGGGAGGGTTGGTCTCAGAGCCCCAACTCCAGCCTGTGCAGAAACATCTACACTGCTATTTTTACTGCTGTAGTATGAGCCTTTCACGTCTGAGCCTGGGCTCTAAGCCTTACCGCAGTGGGTTTTTATTTGTACGTCTGTGCTGTGTGGCCTGATTTTTTTCAGAAATAGTGAGCATCTGTGGCTCAGAGTCAGTCAGCGGGTGTCCCGCACCCATACAAATCAAGCCATGTTGATGTAGGTGTCTGATTGGGGGGATAGTTTATGTATCCAGTTTTGAAAATATTGTCCATCCCATCCACTTTTGAACAAGGATATTGGGATGGCCGGAGAAGGCCATGGTTTACATCTGGTGCATTCATAATATGGCAAGAATACACGTAGGGAGTCAAGACTCAGCAATTGCCAAATCCCTCACCTCTGGACTCTCTGCCTGATTTTTGTGTTTTACACCAGGGGTGGGCAAAAGAGCCTCCGCAGGCTGGATCCGGCCCACCAAGCAGATGCATCTGGCCTGCAGCGGCCCTGCTGCTCCCCCACCGCCAGGCCTTAATTGGCTGGGGGGAGGCACGAAGCCTCCTCCTACCCTGGGAGCAGCACGTGCTGCTCTCAGGAGAGGGGGGAGGGGAGAGCGGAGGAGGCTTCGTGCTCTCCCCCACCCCCAGGCCAATCAGGGCCTTGGAGCAGGGGGAGCTGCGTGAAGCTTCCTTCGCCCTGCCCCAGCCCTGCGAGGAGTCTGCAACTCTTCAAAGTGCCATGTGCTCATCCCAGGGCGGGAGGAGGCTTTGGGCCTTCCCCCGCCCTCAGGCCCTGATTGGCCTATGGGTGTGGGAGCATGCCAAGCCTCTTCCAGGGCATGGGTGCCTAGTGAGAAGGGGGGGGGGCAAAGGGACTCCTCCACCCCCAGACTAATTATGGTCTGGAGGTGGGGTATCCCTGCAATTCTTGTTTAGGCCCCACCCCTTCCAGGGTGGCCTGGGGCTACTTCAAAAATTTTTGAAGTGGCCCCCGGGCAAAAATTATTGCCCACCCCTGGTTTACACTAACGGTGCATCCGTTGGTTGCTTGTGATTTACAGTACTGTGAATGAGAACCAAATCAGATTCTTTTGGGTCAGATTTTGCTCTCCGTTTCTCTGGTACAACTGAACGACATTTGTCCCTTTGTGTCTAACTACTGCGAGACTCAAGGTATTTACCACACTCCCACACAATTAATCTTCTATTAGTACCAGTTGCTGCTGAGAGCTGTAAGTACAAGCACTGATGGGATCACCATGAGCTGGCGCTAGCAGACAACACTCTTTAAGTTAGTCAAAATGAAGCAACTTGCAACCAGAAGGCTCTCTGTTTTAGCTTTTACCTTTCACAGGATCCGCTGCTTTTGAGAGTCTCAATGAGGTGAGATAATGTGATCTCCAAGAAGCCATACAAGTGAGAACTTATTTCAGTAAATATTTTTGGCTACAGCGTTTAGATGATGAGCTGCTTGGAAACCCAATTTCTTTTCCCCTCTATGGAAATAAAGTGATAGAGCAAGGACGGGTTTTTACTCTAGACATTTCTGCATTAAATGTGTGGGTGGGAAATGGTGATCCTGCTGTAAAATGTGTAAGATAACTAAGGTTTGAAGGAGCTGAAGAAATCCCTGGTTTTCATATTTAACAAGCATGCTGACTCTCTCAGCACAAAGGCTTGTGAGGGTGGCCATTTTCAGCATCCTGTTAGAAGCAAACCAAACAAGACCTCTCTTAATATGTAAGGAAAATCAATTTGAATGGATAGCCTGAAATGGCAGTCAGTCAGTAAAAGCCACAATGCCACCAGCGGTGTCTGATAGGATTCCTCAGAGCAGCATGCCTTTGCCACCTGTCTCTGTTCTTTGGAGTGTGGTTCAATCCATTCCGATTCAATTTTGTTTTTATACTTTGAGGGCTTAATAGCCAGTTCCCAATCTTCGCATGGTTGGAGGGTGACATTGTCAAGAACAGGTGCAGCCTGCTGAAATGATACGGTAATGCTTGTAACAGTATTTGGGAGAAGGAAAATGGAGAAGTTTAGTTCCTTCAGGGCAGAACTGGATAAACTGAATTGATAGATACTGGTTCAAAATCAGTTTTTCCCCCTCTTTGGTTCATTTTTCATAAGAGCAGGAGGCTGGCTTGTAGAGGTGGGAGTAAGAAACTGACATTCAAATCCTCGGCCTGACAGTGCCTCACTCTCCGACCTTGGAAATGTCACTTAAACCAAAATTTTCAATACAGAGTGTCTGTGTCCACAGTCAGATGTTTACATAAGCGACCTGATTTTCAGAGGTGAATGCACAATTCCCTTCAGTTCATTATGAGCATCCAGAGCTCTACAATTTAGGTCTTTTTATTTTGTCACCTAAACACAAATAGAGGCACGTCAGGATTGCAAGTCTTAGCCTGAATATGGCTGTGCTTGGCCTTCAAAGGTGCTGAGCACCCAGGATGCTCAGGGAAGTCAGGGGAACTAATCACTTTTGAGAACTGGGTCCCTTTTCCCTTGGTTTCCTTGTGGTTAATTGGAATAGTAATACAGGCCTCAAGGTGATGCTGTGAGGCTTCATCAGTTAGGGCTTGATCCTGAAAGGTACTGAGAATCCTCAGCACCAATGGATGCTAATGGAATCTAAGGCTCTCAGCCCCTGCATGCTCAGGACTCTTCATGGTAAGCATTATTAGTCCACACCTTAATGTTAGTGTCAGAATTACCATCTGCTGGGTCCTTAGACAGTGCCCCTAGTACCTGCATCATGACATGTTGACCACCACCCCGATTAAGAGCCTGAGTGCTCAGTGCCTGTGGTCTCACAACAGCCATGACCCAGCCCCAACTGGTTGGACACACAGCACTCTCATTGGCTTTCTCTTCCTGCTCTACAGGCCAGTTATCCATCTATGCAACAGGCCATTCATTCTTGGCTGTTGCCGACTCACTACCTTGTGGAACCTTACCCTGTCACCCACTGCCTTGCCTGTGTAACCCACACACCTACTGTGTGTGGTTCATTATCCTGTGTAGTAGTGACACTTACAGAGAGAGAGACTGAATGTGGTCTACAGCCTTAGCTGAGAGCCAGCTGGCTTTTAGCTCAAGCTGTAGAGGCTCATGCACTGAGCTCCAGAGATCCCAGGTTTGGTTCTGTCTGTCAGCTTTACACCTACACTTGCCTTCCTGACTTGCTTGCTGGCTCCTTGGATTGGATCTCCCAGCTACTGACTACAGTGAGAACACTGACGGTTGCCTGGGACAGTTTCTGACCATTCAGATTGACTTGCTGGCTCTTTAGCCAAATGCACGCTCTTGACCATGACTCAGGACTGCCTTAGCTATCTGGCTTTTCAGTTAGCCACATTTACAATTAGCATTCCCCACTGCACCTTCAGTTAGGACTGGACAATGCTGGTTTAGTCATAGTGTTTCTTTAAATTTCTGGCTCTATGGTATTTTTCACTGCCTGTTTCACGTAAATGGATCGAACTCTTTTCTTTTAAAGAGACTGTTCCAGCCACTGTGCAAAACCCTCCCTTCCTATGGGTATTTTCACTATCCTTTTCAATTTCTTTTTCCGGTAGTTCACTTAGTTTTCCTTATGCTGCTTCAGTATGGTAAAAAGCAGAAGTAGCAATCTGTCTCTTTCAGAGCAAAAGGATTATGGGGGTCAGATGGTATAAAAGTACTTACGGAATGGAGAATTCCCCAGTAGAAAATCAGTTTATTGACTAAGGGACAGTAGCTGGGGGAGCAGTGCAGGAATACTAAAGAGTGTTGCTGTCATGGTTAACTTTGGATCACTGAGTATGTGAACCCTCCCCTCAGTTTTCAAACCTTTTCTTTGCAAATAGATGTGATCATTTAATAAATGGCAGTCTCCCCTCTGAGTCCGTACTGAACCCATTAATCAAACCAAGAGACTGACTAATTAGAGTAAACAAAGGTCTCATAGCGGATTTAGTAAGAAAAGGAGTGTTAAACCTGGTCAAGCTGCAACGTAGGCAATTGCATTCTGTTCACCTAAGTCATTTATTACCATGTAGATGGTACTATTGGTGCGTATGGTACTTTACAGGCAGGCAACAGGTTTGATTCTCATCTCACTCACAAGCATAGAGCCATTGATTTTAGTAGAGAGCCTGTTCATTTGGGAAACATCCTAGAGGTGTGTAAAAGCAGGAGGAATACCCACCCCTTGCCAGGCACAGCTTCTTGCTGAGAGATTGTGAGCTCTGCTTGGGGCAGATGTTGTCTTTTTATTATTTATCTATACCACAACCCCCTATTAGAACCCTGATCCTTGATTACTGTAATACAAATCTACTATATATTGAAGGGTTTGTCTCTCTGTTCCTCCTTCTGCATGTTCAAGAACTCCTCCTAAACAGTAAGAGCTAAGATCACCAAATTCGATATACAGTTTCCTCTGATCATAACTTAAAAGCAAGATAAGGGTTTGGTTGTGTCAGGAAAATGGGATGTGCCTGGAATGGGATTGCTCGTCATAAAACCACACAGAACAGAGACAGAATCACCAGGTACGTGAAAGAGGCTGGCTGGGAAACATGCCCTCTTCCTCATCTTGGACTGCCTCAACCCTGAGCTTCCTGCCCCCCAGGTGACATTGATGGCTGTTCTCCTTTGTCAGGGAGCAAGGGACAAGTGCACAGTTTGCTGCATTCCTCACTCAATCTGGGGAGTGCAGGGGGCAGACAAACCTGGACCTACCCCAGCCAGGGGCACGCACTCCTTCCCCGGTGGTGTCCACTGGAGCTGCAACTCATCGCTTCTTATAAAACCTACCAGAAGAGAGACAGAAATACCAAGTAAAGTACAGTCCTCAAAACTGGCATAACTGAGAGACTATTGAGAGGGCTGAGGGTGGGCAGGGATTCAGAGCAGGCTTGCAGAGTGCCACCTCTGCCCACTGGCCCAGCACCATTGTGGGTTGGCGGGGGGCTGTGCCTTCCCCACAGGGCTGTCCATGGGAGGAGATGCCTGCTCCTCAGCCATTACACCCAAACTCGAGCTGCCCTTGGAGCTGCCACTGGCAGGGGACTTGTGGCCCTTCCATGACCTCTCCCATTTGTGCCGACTGGAACTGCAGAAACATAAGGAAGCACATCTCACCTGATCCCAATATGCTGCAGCGAGAGAGGGCTAGGATAGTCCTTTCTCACTGGGGCAGCCTGCATCCATAGCCCCACCCCGGCACAATCATTCAAATGAAGCATGTACATTTTCATTTTATTTTCCAAGAACAAAAATTGAGTTGAGGACCTGAGCAATGCCAGGTAAATCTTCTAGTAATAAAAAATGTTAAAACTAGAGAGAGAGGTTAAAGTTATTTATTCTCCTGAGCTTTTTTGTTACTTTTATTATTAAAATATTTTATTTGTCTGTGAGTCAGGAGTTTTTGCATGGTCAATTAGCATTGCAATAGTGCTCATACAAGTCTTCAACTCTGAGCCAGGCCACAAAAATCATGAGAGATGTTGCATACTGGCTTCTTTGTATTTGTTTTATGGCTTTTGAGTCTTTACTGGATACTTGGATTGTGTTTTCAAGCTTTTCTCTGCAACCAGAAGGACTAGAAACTTACTATTTTTTATTTTTTATTAAAGTTGAGAATGTCAATGATCACATGACTCCAGGAGCTTGAAGGATCAAGATCATCACTAAATATTGTAAGATTCCTGGTAACATTGCAAGAGCTGACAACAGTGTCATTGACTGGATTTGCAGAGGAGAGCTTAGAACGAAAAGGAGGTTGCCTTGCACATTACAGGCAGTCCCCGAGTTATGCGGATCCGACTTATGTCGGATCCGCAGTTACGAACGGGGCTTTTCTCGCCCCGGAGGACGGGAGTGGCGGGACGCCCATATGCGCCGCGGTCCGCCACCCCCGTCCTCTGGGGCGAGAAAAGCTGCTCCCCGTCTCCCTGGGCTGCAGGGCGGCAGGGCGCAAAGCCTTGGAGCCCCCCC